CCTCTCTGTCCCCCTCTCTCTGCCCCGGGTCTCCCCCCTCTTTCTGCCTGTCTGTCCCCTTCTCTGCCCCGGGTCTCCCCCTCCTTTCTGCCTCTCTGTCCCCCTCTCTCTGCCCCGGGTCTCCCCCCTCTTTCTGCCTCTCTGTCCCCCTCTCTCTGCCCCCGAGTCTCTCTGCTCTCTGTCCCTGGGCTTCCTCCTCCATCTCAGCCGCCCCCACCTCACCGTCCCCGTCCTTTTCTGCCCTCCTCCGTCCTTCTCTTCGCTCTACTTTTGTTCCAAGCCTCCCCTGCCTCTCCAGGGCTAGGAGTGGGACAGGGGTGGGAGGGGCGGTCTCACCAGGCTGCTGGCCCCAGGGAGCCTCTCTCCCTGGGGATGGGAACGGGCGTAGGAGAGGGGGGAGGAGGTGCGCCTCCGCTTTGGGGGTTCTGAGTGGGCTGTGGGGACCGAGTTTGGTGAGTGTGCCATGAGCAGCGGGGAGCAGTTGGATTCAACTTCAGGGCACAGGAGAAGTTAGGAGAAGAGGAAGAGGGAGAGAGTGGGACACGCAGAGCCAGGGTGCCCAGCCAGGCGAGGGTCGGAGGCAGGAACGTTCTAGCCTCTTCCCAGGGGAGTCCTGCTGCCTCTTTGAGCCTCTGTGTCTTCATCACTGAGGGATTTGACCTGACCTAGTGAAAGGTGCCCCAGGCTCCCCAGGCGCATGGTTCTGTGATGACGGGATGCGAGCATCCCACCCCATAATGGTGTTTTTCTTGGGTGCGAAAGTGTGTCTCTGTGGTGGTGCCTCGTGACCCTCTCCAGCAACAAGTGCTCACAGCCTGAGCCAGGCCCTGTGCTAAATGCCTCGTTCATTCATTCATTCGTTCATGTGCTAAATGTCTCAATCATGCATTCATTCCTGTGCCTGGTGTTCGGCTGTGTGTGTGTGTGTGCGCATGTGTGTGGGGGGGGGTTGGGTGTGACTGACACACGAGCGTGCACGTGGGTTGGTGTGTATGGCTGTGTCTCCGTGTGTGGTGGATTCACGTGGTGAGTGGGGTGTGACATGTTGTTGAGACTTACTCTAAATGTGCATATCTACCAACTGTGAAATGGAATAGAAGACGGGAGGCTTCGTGTGTGTACTTTGTGTACAACAGTGCGCGGTTCCTGCAGGAGGTGTCCATGGATTTCCCTCTCTGTCTCTCTCTGTCTCTGTCTCTTATCTCTGTCTCTGTCTCCATCTCTGTCTCTGTCTCTGTCTCCGTCTTCTCACGCCACTCTCTCCATCTCTCTTCCCTCCCAGCCAGACCCTGCCGTCTCTCCCTCTGGGTCCTCCTGCCCGCATGTCAGGAATCTCTGCCTGGACAGGGTCCTCACTCCCACCCAGACAGCTCCGGGGGACCTGGAGGGCTCAAAGGGGCAGGGCTCAGACACTTGGGGACCAGAAGCAGGTTTCTGGGACACAGAGAGGCATCTCCTGGGTTCCGGGATAGAGAAGCTCCTCAGCCGAGTCTCGGGGTGCTGACCCCTCCCTGGGGCTCCCCCTTCTCTTCTCACCTTCGCCCAGTACGATGAGCTGCCGCACTACCCAGGCATCGCGGATGGCCCCGCAACCCTGGCTGGCTTCCCAGAGGCAGTGCCCGCGGCACCAGGGCCCTACGGCCCACACCGGCCTCCCCAGCTGCTGCCCCCAGGCTTGGACAGTGACGGCCTGAAGAGGGAGAAGGATGAGATCTATGGGTGAGTGGGGGCCGGTCTCAGGCTCCTGTCTCTCTGTCTTCTGTTTCTTTGCTCCCTGGGTCTGTTTCCGTCTCTGTGTATGAGTCACTGTCTCTCCGGGTCTCTTGTCCCCTTCTCAGCTGTGTTGCACCTTGCAGCCCCTCCATTCACCCCCCCAGCCTCTCCCTCGACCTCTCTCCTTTCCTGCCTCCCCAGACACCCGCTCTTCCCCCTCTTGGCCCTGGTCTTTGAGAAATGTGAACTGGCTACATGCTCTCCCCGTGATGGGGCTGGAGCTGGGCTGAGGACACCCCCCGGCGGCGACGTCTGCTCCTCTGATTCCTTCAACGAGGACATCGCTGCCTTCGCCAAGCAGGTGGGCACCCCCCACCCGCCAAGCACCGCACCGGAGAGCCAGCGAGGAGGGTTGGGTGGAAGGTGGGACATCCCCTGCCGGCTTCTCTCTTCCCTCCCAGGTTCGCTCTGAGAGGCCCCTCTTCTCCTCCAACCCAGAACTGGACAATCTGGTGAGACCCAAGCTCTCCCCCACACTCCCTCCTACGATGGGTCTCCTGTCCTGACTCCCCATCCCTGGGGTTGGTTGAGGGGGTGCAGAGAGGAGGCCACCTGGTCCATGTTCCCAAATGGCCATGATTGTTGCCCACATGGCATGTGGTACAGCCTAGAATCTGAGAACGGGACCCATGGCCCGAGTTCAAATCCCAGCTCTGCCACTCACCAGCTGTGTGACCCAGGGCAAGTCACTCTGCGTCTCTGTGCCTGGCATCCCATCTGTGACATGTGGCTGGTAGTAATTTCTGTCTTGGAGGGCTGCTGTGGGGATTTAATGAGTGAATGCAAGTCAAGTGCATGGGACAGCACCTGGCACAGAATAGGGCTGAAAAAGTGTCTGATGTTCCGTCCGTCAGAAGAATAGTACCCATGCCAAAGTGAGCGCAGGGACTGCTTCCCAAGGAGAGGAGGCTGGGTGCGGCAGCTCACACCTGTAATCCCAGCACTTTGGTAGACCAAGGCCAGGAGATAGCTTGAGGCCAGGGATCAAGACCAGCCTGGGCAATGTAGTGACACCCCATCTCTACAAAAACATTTAATTAGCAGGGTGTGGTGGCACACACCTGTGGTCTCAGCTACTTGGGAGGCTGAGGTGGGAGGATCACTCGAGCCCCAAGAGGTCGAGGCTGCAGTAACCCTTGATCAGCTCCACTGCACACCAGCCTGGGCAACAGGGCAAGACCCTGTCTCTCATAGATAGCTAGAAAAAGAGAAAGAGGCCAGTCGCCGTGGCTCACACCTGTAATCCCAGCACTTTGGGAGGCTGAGATGGACAGATCATGAGATCAGGAGATCGAGACCATCCTGGTTAACACGGCGAAACCACGTCTCTACTAAAAATACCAAAAAATTATCCGGCCGTGGTGGTGGGCACCTGTAGTCCCAGCTACTCTGGAGGTTGAGGCGGGAGAATGGTGTGAACCCGGGAGGCGGAGCTTACAGTGAACCGAGATCGTGCCACTGCACTCCAGCCTGGGCGACAGAGCGAGACTGTCTCAAAAAAAAAAGAAAAGAAAAAAGAGAAGAGAAAGGAAAACAAAGGGAGGGAGGGAAGGAGAGAGGGAGGGAGGGAGAGAGGGAAGGAGGGAGGGAGGGAAGGAAGGAAGGAAGGAAGGAAGGGAGGGAGGAAGGGCTGGGTGCAGTGGCTCATGCTTGTAATCCTAGCACTTTGGGAGGCCAAGGCCGGCAGATCACAAGGTCAGGAGTTCGAGACCAGCCTGACCAACCTGGTGAAACCCCCTGTCTACTAAAAATACAAAAATTAGCTGGGCGTGGTGCACTCGCCTGTAGTCCCAACTACTCGGGAGGCTGAGGCAGGAGAATCGCTTGAACCCGGGAGGCAGAGGTTGCAGTGAGCCGAGATCCTGCCACTGTACTGCAGCCTGGGCAACAGAGCAAGACTCTGTGTCAAACAAACAAAGAAAGAAAAATAAAGAAAGAAGGAAAGGAAGAGAAGAAAAAAGAAAAAGAGGCCGGGCACGGTGGCTCACGCCTGTAATCCCAGCACTTTGGGAGGCCGAGGCAAGTGGATCACCTGAGGTCGGGAGTTTGAGACCAGCCTGGCCAACATGGTGAAACTCTGTCTCTACTAAAAGTACAAAAATTATCTGGGCACAGTGGTGCGTGCCTGTAGTCCCAGCTACTCAGGAGGCTGAGGCAGGAGAATCACTTGAACCTGGGAGGCGGAGGTTGCAGTGAG